AAAAAGAAAGATCTAAGGATCAAGGGTTTGAAGCCAGCCTGGACAGGAAAGTCCATGAGACTGTTATTTCTAAGTAATCACCAAAAAGCTGGAAGTGGAGCTGTGGCTGAAGTGGTAGAGTGCCCGCCTTGAGCAAAATAAGCTCAGGGACAGTACCCAGGCCCTGAGTTTAAGCATATGCACGCGCGCACGCGCACACACACACACAAAAGTCAATAAATACGAGCAGGTAATGTGGCATGATTTCCTTTTACACTTAAAAAGCCTTTGAGGGTTTGCATATGAAGGGCTGAGGGGATATCCCAATACTAGAAGATATTAAATGATGCACCCTTGGGTGCTGTGGGAAAGAAATGAGGGCGCAGGAGACAGGGTAAGCCTTAATGGGACACAACAGGAGGGTCTCAAAGCTTGTTTTATGCCGGTGAAGTTCTGGCAGCTAGGTTGAGGATGGGCGTTAGGAAGGAATGAGAAAGCTAGAAGATCTGAAAAGACCCAGGTAAAGAGGTGGAGAGTCAGGTAAGAACTCAGGAGATCGGCACAACCAGGAAGGACCTGCCTTCGGCAGCTAGGACAAGGGCCAGACTAGATGTTCCTCCAGGGGTGCCAGGAAGAGCTCAGCAGTGAGCTGGGTCGGAAAAGGAGATCGTGTTTGCCTGTGTTTTCAATCAGAAGTAGAGCTCAATATAGAGCAATGAGGTATAAGAAACCCTGGGCCCAGCTGGGCGCTGGTGGCTCATACCTATTATTCTAGCTACTCAGGAGGCTGAGATCTGAGGATTGCGGTTCAAAGCCAGCCTGGGCAGGAAGAGTCCATGAGACTCTTATCTCCAATAAACTACGCAGAAAACCAGAAGTGTGGCGCTGTGGCTCAAGTGGTAGAGCACTTGCCTTGACCTGAAGAGCTGAGGGACAGCGCCCAGGCCTAGAGTTCAAGTCCCACAACTGACGAAAGAAAGAAAAATAAACCCTGGGCCCAGCAGTGAGGAGGGAAATGGTGTGGGGTGGGGGTTGGTGGGAATAGGAATAGAGAAAGCTTAGTTTACCCTGGGAAGGAATTTCAGCAGCACTTGACAACAAGTCTTAGTGGTTTGGGGTGAGGCTTATACCTGGATAAAAGCTAGTTGAGTGATCTTAAGCAAGCGGCTTTGTTTCTAAATCTTCCTCTTCTTTTTTGAATACTGGAGATCATTAAACGTGTCTACCTGGGAAGGAAGTGGTGAGGAGCGAGACTGTGTGTGTGTGTGCGTGTGTGTGTGTGTGTGTGTGTGTGTGCAATGCTGGGCACGGCGCCCAGCTTGGAGCAAGCACTCGCTGAAAGGGAGCGGTCGGTCTCTTCCCCAGGGCAGAGCTGCCCTGGTGGATTCTATCAGTGGCAGGGCTCCAGAGTTGAGCGACGAGTTCTAGCACCACTGAGACCGTATGCCAGTGGTTAAGCACTAGCTTAAGGACAGGTTAAGGACAAGAATAGAGCTTGGGGGAGGCAGGATTTGCCTTTAAGCCTAGGAGGAAGTAGGAACCTCAGATCTCAGAGAGGGAGAAAGGGAGACTTGAAAACAGGGAAATGGCTAGATCATAGAGACCCAGGAACCTGTAGCCCATGGAATCTGGGGTATAGCTGTGACCAGATAGACAAGAAAAGGGCAGGGGGGTCCAAGAAGATACTCCTGGCAACAGTCATGGGAAAGTTAGATATTAAGTAATATGCCCATAGGTGCTGTAGGAGGCACTGGCAGAGACAGTCTGGTCTCCTGCCAAGAAATACAGGTGGGTGTTTACCTCCAGAGTTCATGCTTGCCGGGCACCGGTAGCTCACGCCTGTCATCCTAGCTACTCAGGAGGCTGAGCTCTGAGGATCGTGGTTCAAAGCCAGCCCCAGGCAGGAAAAGTCCGTGAGACTCTGATCTCCAATAAACCACTCAGAAAACCTGCAAGTGGCGCTGTGGCTCAAGTGGTAGAGCCCTCACCTTGAGCTGAAGAGTTGAGGGACAGCCCTGAGCCACAGTGGGTCAAAGTCCACCAAGGATAGGTCATTAACATTCACCCCTTTTGTTGCTATCCTCAGAGATCCCCGGCCTTAGCAGATGAAGCCAGGAAGATGGAAGATGTCAAGTCTAGAGGCTCCCTGCTGGAGTTCATTAAACGTAACTATCCAGCCCAGCAGACCTGCTGGGGGGGCGGGGGGGACTGGCTCTGAGGAGAGGAGGTGGTCAAGTGTGCAAGAAGTCTGGCCCAGGGCTGGGAATTTGGCTCAGTGGTAGAGCGCTTGCCTTGCATGCCTGAGGCCCTGGGTTCGATTCCTCAGCACCACATAAGCAAAAAGAAAAAAGCCAGAAGTGGCGCTGTGGCTCAAGTGGTAGAGTGCTCGCCTTGAGCTGAAGAGCTGAGGGACAGCGCCCAGGCCCAGAGTTCAGGCCCCACAACCGGACCCAAAAAAAAAAAAAAGAAGAAGTCTGGCCCGATCTCCTGGGGGAGAGAGGTGGCTGTGGCTTAGAACTGCAATCCCAGTGACTTTCTCACAGGTATCAGGAGACTCAGTTCAAGCAGTCGATCCTCACCCCCCCCCCCGCCATGATCTAGCCCTCCTCTCTTTCTCCCATCTCTTCGTGGGTGTGGAAGCAGAAGTCACGAGAGGAGACTGCTTCCAGCATCGGTTCTATTTTCATCTCTCCGCCACCAGATTTCTCAGTGACATCCTTGTTCCCATCAGCCCACTGGTCCATGGAGTGGGGGTGTTCCCCGTGTTTCGTGGAGGGGTGGGGGGGAGGCACCCTGGACTGGCTGCTCGTACATCATGGTGCCTTGGATTCAGCTCTGGGGAAAAGGCACACAGGTGGCGAGGAGGCGGTAGAGTGGTGGACCGTCCTGAGATAGTTTTTTTTTGGGGGGGGAGGGGAGGGAAGGGAACCCCCAAGACCTGGCTCCTGACAGCCGTCTCCGCTTTGTAGGGTTCCCTCACATCTTCCTGAGGCTCCTGATGAACCCCCTGTTCATGCTGGTGGTCCTGGCTCAATGCTGCTTCTCTTCTGTCATCGCCGGCCTCTCTACGTTCCTCAACAAGTTCCTGGAGAAGCAATACGGAGCTTCCGCAGCCTATGCCAACTTCCTCATCGGTACTTCCAGCACGAGCCGGGTGGATCGACCTAAAGGAAAGGAGGGAATGGGCCCTCTGCCGTCCATCCGGGGAGAGCCAAAGGCCAGACCAGATACACAACAGGAGAGACAGGGGGGCTTGCCCGGGAGAAAGAATGTTAAGGACATCTCCCCCCCCCCCCCGCCATCTCCCCGGTTGGCATTCTAGAATGTTCTTGGCAGGTTGCTGAGAACGCTTGCTGCTCCATTCGGGGAGTGGGTGGAGGCCCCGGGGCTACCTCCTTCCTCCCCATCAAGAGACTGGAAGTCTGGGATACCTCACCAGAACCAAGCGAAGATGGAATTGAGGTTGGGTGGGAGGGTGTGGGAGTAAACGCGGTGCCTCCTGGGTATTTTCCTGCGTCTGAATACCTTTGCTTTGGTAAGAGGATGTGTGTCCGGTGACTCCAGCCCTGCTGTACTTCGGGTCTCTCTGAAGAGCTTTACTGAGTGCAGATGCTCAGCCCCATGCAGGGAAACGAATCCAGAATCCACAGGGAACAGAGGTGGTTTCAGTATCTTATTTGATTTATTTATTTTTTTGTCGGCCTTGGGGCTTGAACTCAAGGACTGGGCGCTGTCCCTGAGCTCTTCAGTGGAAGGCTGGCACTCTACCATTTGAGCCACAGTGCCACTTCCCATTCTCTGAATGGCTCATTGGAGATAAGAGTCTCATGGACTTTCCTGTCCCAGGCTGGCTTTGAGCCATGATCCTCAGATCTCAGCCTCCTGAGTAGCTAGGATGACAGGTGAGAGTCACTGGTGCCCAGCTATTTTATTTTATAAAGCCAGGGGCATGATCCACCAAGCTTCCAAGTGAATTATCAGGCCCAGCCCTCAGGTGAATTCAACCCTGTGGTCTCCACAAGGTGGTTAGGGTATCCAGAGCATGAGATTTGTGGGTGACATTTTTTGTGTGTGGCCACAGTCTATCATGAACCCCTCTGGTCTTCAGTCTCTGAACTAGCTGGTCAGAAGCCATCAGACCTTCTATTACAGGAATCAGGGTGGGACCTGGTAAGGAAAAATGAAGGTACTACTTCTAAAAATCCTCTCAGGAAGATAATTCTGGAAAGCCAGGTCCTAAGGCTCACGCCTGTAATCCTCACACCACGCCCCTCAGAACACTGATACCTGAAAGATCACAGTTTAAAGGTAGCCTGAGTAGACAAAAAAAAAAAGTTAGAAGTTATGGAATAGTTTAAGAAGCAGCATACCAGCCTTGAACAGAAAAAGCTAAGCAAGAGCATGAGATCCTGAGTTCAAGTCCTAATACTATCATTAAAAAAAGAGACAGAGTAGCTCTCAAAAGTGCCTAGCCAATAGTAAGCAGTCAACTAATTTCAATGAATTAATTCTGTATAGTTACAAGTAAAACTGAACATATCCAGGGTTCAGGATGTAATGTGCCCTTCTTTTTTTTGTTGTTGTTTTGTTTTGTTTTTGGGTCTGGTCGTGGGGCCTGAACTCTGGGCCTGGGCGCTGTCCCTCAGCTCTTCAGCTCAAGGCTAGCGCTCTACCACTTGAGCCACA